TACTTCGTTCCGCTCCTGCAGCAGGTTCTTGGTCTTACTCCTTCTCCTGGTCCTCCTCCTCCTCCCTTAGAGGGTCCACAGCCTGTCTCGTCACAGTCCCAGCTACAGCGTGCCTCCCCTTTGCCTGCTCCTTCTCCCTACGCTGGTCCGTCTGGAGGTCTTACTGAGCGTCGTGAGCCTGCGTCTCGTCCTGCGTCGCCTGTTCGTCCTGCGCGCACTAGTGGTCGCGGTTCTCGTCAGCGTCCTCCTCCTGTCCCTGGCACGCACCGGATGTCTCTGCGTCCGTCCACTGCTCCTCTGCGTGCCCCTTTGCCTTCTCCTCCTGCTTCCTCTCTTCCTGCTCTTGCCGACCCGGAGTCGGACTCTCTTCGTGCTGCCAGTCCTACTGTCACGCGTCTCCTTGCTACTGCTGTCACTACCCCTTCTTTCGAGTCTTCTGCTGCGTCTGCCCTTGTCACTGAGCTCGTCGACTTTGCTGCGCGCTGTCGTCTAGACTACGCTGCTAGTCTTGTCGCTGAGTCTGAGTCTGCCTGTCCTCCGTCCGTCGGGGGTGAGTGTGCCCTTGGCACGGACGTCCTTGAGGACAGGCAGGAGGAGTTCCAGTGTCTGGCCGCCGCTTCACCTCATCTCGCGTCTGTACTGCTAGCCCCTGAGGGAGACCCGGATGCACTTGACATCCCGACTCCGCGCTCTTACGCGGAGGCGATAGAGGGTCCCTACTCCTCTCAGTGGCAGGCAGCTATGGATGCAGAGATGGCTTCCTGGAAGTCCACAGGCACCTACGTTGACGCTGTTCCCCCTTCTGGGGCGAACATAGTCAGTGGCATGTGGATCTTCAGGGTGAAGCGGCCACCGGGTTCTCCGCCTGTCTTCAAGGCGCGTTACGTGGCTCGTGGCTTCAGTCAGCGGTAGGGGGTTGACTACTTTCAGACCTTCTCCCCCACCCCGAAGATGACCACTCTTCGGGTACTCCTGCACGTTGCTGCTCACCGTGACTACGAGCTGCACTCTCTTGACTTCAGCACTGCTTTCTTGCAGGGCAGTCTGCACGAGGAGATCTGGCTGCGTCGCCCACGTGGCTTCACTGGGTCTTTCCCTCCTGGTACCCAGTGGAGTCTCCGGCGTCCAGTCTACGGTCTCCGCCAGGCGCCACGTGAGTGGCACGACACACTGAGGACTACGCTGGCGGCACTTGGGTTTGCTCCTTTTACTGCCGACCCGTCGCTGTTTCTTCGCACCGACACCTCTCTGCCGCCGTTCTACATCCTCGTGTACGTCGACGACTTGGTCTTTGCCACAGCTGACACTGCTGGACTCGCCTACGTGAAGTCCGAGCTGCAGAAGAGACACACGTGCACTGACCTGGGTGAACTGCGCAGCTACCTTGGCTTGCAGATCACCCGGGACAGAGCACGCCGCACCATTACCCTGACTCAGTCACACATGGTGCAGCAGGTCGTTCAGCGCTTCGGCTTCACGTACTCCTCGCCTCAGGCCACTCCTCTGGCTATAGGTCGCTCGCTCTCAGCTCTGCCTTCGGATGAGTCCGTAGAGTCGAGTGGCCCGTATGCAGAGCTTGTTGGCTGCCTCATGTACCTGATGACCTGCACACGACCTGACCTTGCATACCCTCTTAGCATTCTCGCACGCTATGTTGCTCCTGGGAGACACCGACCAGAGCACATGGCTGCAGCGAAGAGGGTGTTGCGCTACTTGTGGAGTACGTCGGGCATGGGGCTAGTGCTTGGAGGGCGCAGTCCAGTGGTCCTCACTGGGCACGCGGACGCTTCTTGGGCTGACGACCAGGCTACGCAGCGGTCGTCACAGGGTTACACCTTCAGCCTTGGTTCCGGATCTGTTTCGTGGCGGGCTACCCGCTCGTCTTCTGTTCTCGGCTCCAGTTGTGAGGCTGAGATCTACGCCGGGGCTATGGCTGCACAGGAGTTACGCTGGCTCACCTACCTGCTGTCCGACCTTGGAGAGCCGCCTCGTTCTCCTCCAGTCCTGTACGTAGACAACAAGGCCATGCTGGCCTTGTGTCGAGAGCAGCGACTGGAGCACATGACAAAGCACATTGCTCTCCGCTACTTTCTTGCTCGTGAGCTACAGCAGCGTGGACAGTTGCGACTTGCGTACGTGGCCTCTGAGGCCAACACTGCTGATGTCTTCACCAAGGCGCTTGCGCCTTGTGATCATCAGCGTTGTTGCACGCAGCTGGGTCTTGTGTCTGTCTTGCCTCACTTGCTCACTTCTTGACTTTGCTTGTACCTTCACCTATATATACTCTTGCTCTTACTTGCTTGACTCTTGTATATCTTTATTTATGATCTTGCATGTGAACTGGCCTTGTGGCCCTTGAACTTGTGCTCGGAATGTGTGGTGACTTTGTGATCCACCCTGAGCTTTGCTTTGCTTTGCTTGACTGGTCTTGTGACCCCTTGTTCTCCCCCACTTTGCCTATGGGGGTGTGTCAGAACATTATAGCTTACTCTTTTATGTAGGCTATAGTGGGGTATCCCATAGGGGGTACAACCCAATTAGGGTTTCATATTTGTACTCACTTCATTTCATAGTGCACTCATTCACGTTCCTTTATTCACAGCAGGGTGCGCTAAGGAATATCGAGAAAATTCCTTACACTCGATAAAACAATCAGCCCATAGAATGTTCATCATGCTTCACAGTATTATGAACTTGCAAATATGTTTCTATTTTAGAATAAAGCACACTAATTCTTTTGACTCGTCAGTGCATATGGATAGACACATGATTTCGTAATGATATCACGAAAAAGTATTTGATCATAATCATATGTTTTCTTATGTATTAATCCCCTGTTTGTGTAAGGTGGCATGGTAACACACTTTTAGTATCATGTTCTTCAATAACCACTGCCTGACCACAACAGCAACGCCATGGCGGGATTCGACCCAGCTTATGTCGAACGCAACTGCCCTTGTCTGTTGAATTCCAGGCCATCGAGGTGAGCAGCAATGATAGCGTGGAAGGCGAGGCGAGAAGAGACGAGGGAACACAAGATAATCAGCGCTGCGCCCTGCAGTGCATGCCTCTTGCCGAAGCCAACCCCTCGCCTCGCTTCGCGCCATGCGACATTCCCCAGACTGCCCCACCGCAATGGACATCCCATGCCGGCGCGCAGCGTTCTGCGCAGCCACGGCAAACCGCACCACCTTCCGCCTCTCCCCCCATCCCCAACCCCCCCGCCTCCTCAACCCCCCCTCCCCGCCCCCCTTTTACACCTTTAGACGTGACCACGCCTAGGATATCGTCTCTTAGCCGCGCGCCACATGGGAAACTCCGTCCAGGTTTTAGTCGAATGGGCTCGAATTGGCATACGATAGCGATGGGTCGCGCCACCATGACATGCATCGCATGTGGTGGGATTGGGCTGTGGGGGAAAAGAGGGGGGAAAGGTGGGGGGAAGAGGGAGTCCTGGGGGAATAGGGGGCCTGAGAAGGGGGCGGATGTGACGTTGCGGGAAAAGCCGAACAGCATGCAGCCTGCCCGTGCGACGGAAAGGGACATCCCTGCGTACACCGGGATTTGTTTACTGACCGTGGGCGCGGCGCGAGTTGACGTGAATACTACAACTCACACGGGTGTGGGCGTGAAGCCGCAAGTTGAAACGGCAAGTTGAAAGCTGCGAGCTCCCAGCTCCGAGCCGCGAGGTGCGAGCTGGGAGCTTGGATTCGCGAGGTACGAGTTGCGAGCTGCCCGTACGCGACGGTCCCCATGATCGCAATGGCTGCCAGGCGTGATGCTTTTTCGCCATGGCAGCAGCTTCGACCCGCTTGACGTTCGGTTGTCCCACGACAGCGAACGGCCGTCCGGACGGAACTTCGGACGGACGTCTGGACGGAAACGGACGTTCGGACGGACGGATGTTTATCCGTCATGGCAGCAGGGGCACAACGACCATGTTGACGATTGGCAACGCTGAGGCTAGGGGCATACGACTATGACACCACGATGCCTCGTGACGCGCGTAGCTCGAGCTTGGTCGCGAGTCATTAAACAGAAAGCTCGACGTTGGCCTGTCACGAGGTCGCGAGACAGTCTGTCAGTCAGTAGGCTCGGCCCGAACCTCTCTCGCCGAAGCTCGATGCTTCTCCTGGTTAATTCCGAACGTATCATGTGTGAGTAGCAGAAGCATCGTAGAGCGTGATAGAGACAGAGTGAGAGCGAGAGGAAGAGAGAGAGGGACAGCGCGCGTATGCAGCTCCTTAGGACCTCGCAGCATGTCATGTCGATTTGATGTCACGAGTCCCACCATCACCATCCAATCGAATCCGTCCCGGAATCAGCGGAGCCCAGAAACGTGAGAGCCAGGCTGGCAGGTGCGAGAATCTGTGCTCGCGGCGTTTTCCCCGAGAGAACTCGACCGAGGACGCTTTTTATTTTGCTCGGGCGGATGGGACGAGACAAGGAGCAGCGCAGCAACCGTGACGCTTGCATACCGGCGACTCAGACTGTCGGACAAACGGACGGACGGATTGGATGATAGACGGACGATCAAATTCGATGCCTTTACCTTTACCATCGCATGCCAGGCCGCTAGGCTATGCGAGGCTCATATTCTTGACTCAAAGCAGCTCCCTTGCTGCCTTTCTGCCTGAAAGCACCGCCTTTTGTGCTTCCTTCCATTACCGGCACGCACTGCTATCTGCCGCACTGTGCCAATTCCAAGAATTCATCTTTGCAGAATCATAATCAGTGCTCTGCCACACCTCCAGATCTGTCCACACCTCTGAACTCCACTCTGCCACACCACGCCTCTGCAAGGGCCCAGCTCTCGGACTTTTGCTCTGAGGATTCCCACTGCTTCCTCTCTCTCTCTCTCCTCAAATCTCTCCAAGAAGGCTTTTGCAGCGCTTCAAAGCACGGCCTTCAGCACTGGTGATTGGAAGCTTTTTTGTTTTCTATCCACTCAAGTTGCTCGGAGCTGGGCAATTTGCCCGGGCTTCCAGGGTGGCGCGTGCATGGCGTCATCAGCGGGTGAATCTGGCATTTTGGTCCACTGGGTTGGTGATCCTGTGATGAATGGGGACTCTATGGCTCCTGCCACTGGTGCTGGTGGTACTGCTGCTGCTGCTGCTGCTGGTGATGCGGCTGATGCTGCTTCTGATGCTGTCTCTGGTGCTGTGGATGGGAGCAGACATTATGCTGCATGTGATGTTACCTTTGAAGATGGTTTCTGCATGCATCTGGAAGCTGGTAACAACACACCATGCCATGCCGTGTCATGCCCGATCACTGCCATTAGCACTGAACCGTTTCTTGCAGATTTCTGACCGCAGTAGGTGCAATCACTGCCAACCTTGAGCAAATTCACAGTTTTTTTTTTCTAATTTTTTTTCATCCTTTTTTTGTTTTTTCCTTGTTGTTTGTTATTTTTATGGCTCGGGCAGGGGGCTTTGTGCATTTGATGCCGGAGAATCCCAAGGAGGACCTCTTTGTGGCGCGCATCGAGAGCTTTCTGGAAGAGCACGGTCACAAGAGCCTCTGCGTGCGCTGGTGAGCTGCTGCCTCTGCCTCTGCCGCTGTTGCTGCTGCTGCCGCTGCTGCTGCTGCTGCTGCTGCTGCTGCTGCTGCTGCTGCTGCTGCTGCTGCTGCTGCTGCTGCTGCTGCTGCTGCTGCTGCTGCTGCTGCTGCTGCCGCTGCTGCTGCTGCTGCTGCTGCTGCTGCTGCTGCTGCTGCTGCTGCTGCTGCTGCTGCTGCTGCCGCTGCTGCTGCTGCTGCTGCTGCTGCTGCTGCTGCTTCTGCTTTCTTTCTGTCTTTCAACCAAGGGATGCCTTTCAGGCTTTGCTAACGACCGCCAACACTGAATGCTGAAGCGGGTGCGTTCTCTTTGGCGTCTCTCTACATGTTTGTTATATGTTTCCTGTTCTACCTCTATGTGTGTGTCGTGGTGTGTGTGTCGCTTTTCATGCAGGTACTACCGCCTTCAGGATCTGGCCCACAAGCCTCCCACTCCTCCAGAGCCCAACGAGCTCTACTGTACGCCTCTTCTGCTCTTCCACTTACCTTCACTCGCTGATTTATTCTGACAACAGGAATATTGAAGCACCATTTGGGAGAAAAAATAATCATTTAGTCTTCTGTTCCTCGATTTCGTGCGAGGTCCCTTTTTTTTTCTTCTTCTTCTTCTTCTTGTTCTTCTTGAACCCAGGCCTCACCTTTTGCATGCGACCTTCTGTGCCATGCTTCTTGCTGTCTCTGCGTGTGCCTGTTCCTGTTCTTCTCCCTCTCCCTCTGCCTCTGCCTCTGCCTCTGTGCAGACACCACATACTATGACGTGCAGCATTTTGAAGCAGTGTGCCGGGAGCCATGTGCGGTGGCGCATGCTGACACCCACAGCCTCAACTCCCAGGGGTATGGATGGGCCCCTTCACTCCTCCCGCCCCCCAACCCCCACTCTCGCTGGATGACTCGTTACACAGCACTTGCTTTCGTTGCAGCTTCCTGTGCGGTGCACCTTGAGCTTGGGTCAATGGATGGAACGCGTTGGCATGGCACTTGCTTTGCTGACTGACTGCTTGTTCTTTCATTGAAACTCTGCCTGTTTGCCCATCAACCGTGTGTGTCTCTGTGGTACGATGGGTTGCAGAGCTGAGGAGAATGCGCGATCCTATGTGTGCAAGTATGTATATGTATCGGAGAAGGGAGCTTTCCTGCCCATCAAAGGAGGTACGCAGCTTCCCTTCTTCCCTTCTTCCCTTCGCTCCCTCCTCCAAGCAGTTCCATCAGGTGCATGTGCCTTAGAATAACATCTGGTTGCACCTTGTGTTGGTAGTATTTTTAAGAATTCTCACAACGCTCTCCGTTTGTTTTGCGATTTTAGCAGCAAACCTCTCCGACCTTTGCTATTGGTCCCCTGTTTGTGCTGGCCATTTCTCCCCATCTTTGATTCTTCGTGTCCCTTTTTGTACTTCTACCATTTTTTGTGCTCGCCTTGATTCTTCCGCTCTTCCGTGTCGATGCTTCCTTACTCCAGCTGAAGCAGGAGACGGCACAAATCAGCGGCAGCAGCAGAACGAGGAAGAGGAAGAGAAGCAGAAGCCTCCTTCAGACGCTCTCCTTGCACGTGGTAAGTCCGGCTTGCGGTTTTGTAGGCCAAACAGAACTTACATTCTGACACGATGTTGTAGCTTCTTTCTTCTCACATGCCTTTTGATGTGTTGTGCCTCCGCCTCCGTCTCTCCCCCCCCCCCGCCTCTGCCCCTGTCTCTGCCTATGTTGGTCTCTGTGCACTGCGTGCATTGCTCTGTAGCACTTTTGAGAATTCTCAAAAGTGATTCCCCCCCCTTCGCCTCTGCCCCTGTCTCTGCCTATGTTGGTATGTGGGTATGTGTGCACTGTGTGCGTTGCTCTGTAGCAGCTGAGAGCAGTGGCAGCAGCGGTGGCGGTGGGCTGCAAGTGAAGCCGGGAGTGGCATATGAGATCAATGCATCAGAGCTTCCGCCCAATGCTCCACACCACCTTCGCCTTGCACGCACTGTCGTTGTGAGTCGTTCTGCTGCCGTCACCGTCGCCAGCCGCTGCTGCTGCTGCTGCTACTGCTGCTGCCAGCCGCCGCTGCTGCTGCTGCTACTGCTGCTGCCAGCCGCTGCTGCCTTCGCGCTTGCAGCAAAGAGGGTCTCGCTCTCCTAATCTGCTGCTTCTTTCTTTCTACTTGAATTGAACGACGGACTCTGGCTTGCCGTTCTTCCACCAACGCTGGCTTGGCGTATTCTGGTTCAGCTACGCTGGTGAACCTTCCACACCCTTGCTTCAGACGTTTTCCTCTGCATTCCCCCGACACTCCACCCTTGTGTGTCTGTCTACCTGTCTGCCCGTCTGTCCGTCCTTTTTCTGCAGGTGTTGAAGAATGAAGGCAACAGCATCACAATCAAGTACCCATCCCCCTTGTCCATTCGCAAGGCCTTTGGGTTCGAGCACGCAGCAAGAGAAGCAGCAGCAGCAGCAGCGAATCACCTTCCCGCCCAGCAGCACCACTACCACGAGCAACAACAACAACAACAACACCAGCAGCAGCAGCAGCAGCAGCGGAGGCACAAGTTTCTCCACAGGGGTGCTGTTAACGGACCCTCTTCCGCAGCCTCTCCTCCCTTGGGTCTGCACCTTGGATGCAGGCCCGACCTCGATGCCTCCTTCACCCTCCCCTCCGCCCTGCCTTCTCCCGCTCCTCAACTCCAGCCTCCCCCGCCCACCACCACGATCACCACCACCAGTGGCACCACCACCACCATCACCTACCCCAGCAGCACCTACCCCAGCAGCACCTCTTCCCTCGTCACCTCTCCGCCCACCTCCACCCTGTGTGTGCGGTTGTTCAAGCGCGCTGTGCCGCGCAGTGAGTACCTGCACAAGGCCCACCTGCTCTCCTTCTGGCTGCTGCACCCGCACGAGTTCCCCTGGACTGATGCTGCTGCTGCTGGGGATGCTTGTGTCACGTTTGAGGGTTCTATATCTCCCTGCGCGGCTGCTGAGGAAGAGGGGTGTGGGGGAGGAGAGCAAGGGGAGGAGATCGAGCAAAGGGGGGAGGGTGTGGGGGAGGGAGAGGGAGAGCGAGGGTCTGCTGCTGCTGGTGCGAGAGTGATGGTGAGTGGTGGGGAGGGAGGAGAAGGTGAGATTATGACCGGAGTTGAGTTAGGAAGAGTGGATGGTGAAGCAGAGGGATCAGGGGGGGCAGCAGGGGAGGCATTTGCAAGTGTGGATGAGGCAGCAGAGGCACTCACTCAGCTGAAACCGTGCGGGGCAGTTTCTCATACCCCTGCTCATGCTGCACATGCTACTGCTGCTGCTGCTGATGATGATGATGATGATGCTGATGCTGCTGCTGATGATGATGTTAATGCTGATCCTGATGCAGATGCTGACAGTGATGCTGATGCTGATTGTGCTGTGGTTGAAACTAGAAGTGAAGACGCAAATGGAGATGCGACAATAGAAGCAGAAGCAGACGAAGCAGAAGACACAGCAGAACCAGCAGCAGTTGAAGCCGAAGCAGAAGAGGAGGCGGTGGATATAAGCGCATGGCCCAAGAGAAGGCGGGGCGGAGGGGGCAGCAGGAGCAGGAGCAAGAAGGCGCGCACGGTGGTGGTGGTGGTGGCTGGCAGAACAGGGTCCGGCAACGATGCTTCCAGCCTACCCTCCTCTGCCAGCAGCGGTGAGGGTAAGACCTGCCTCTCACAGTCGATGCTGCCCCATCGCCCTCCCTCCCCATGCTTCCCTCTCTTGATTTCCCCGTCTCTTTTCCCCCCCACTCTGGTTTGAGGAGACCAGGAAGCAACGTGTCGAGTAGCTTTGTCCATTCCTTGCCTCCTTGCCTGCTTACATGTGCTCACCCGTCCACCCTTCCACGCGTCCACCCTTCCACGTGTTCACCCGTCCATCCCTCCATCCCTCGTGCTGCAGATGTGGAGGAGGAAGAAGCAGCAGTGGCGGTGAGCAGGGCGAGGGGGAACGGCGAGAGCAAGGAGAAGGACGCGGGCAGGAATGGCAAGAAGGACGCTCACCTGCTCAAGCTACCCAAGGACATGCAGGGCCGCTGGTCCAAGGAACGGTAAGGGAACCGTGTGTGTGTGTGTGGGTGTGTGTGTGTTTGTGTGTGTGTGTGTGTGTGTGTGTGTGTGTGCGTGCGAGAGTGAGGATTTGTCTCGCTGCTTGCACGCGGTCTCTCACACCTCACACTGCTCATCTCTGGGAAGCGTGTGAGCACGCCCCAACTCCTGCTAAAGCTGCCCAGGGACATGCAGCAGGGCACGCTCTCACAACTCAGATGACGCTGTTGGGTATCATGAGGGCTCTTTAGAGATATTCCCAGCTGATTCTAAACTGTTTTTCTTCTGCGTAAACCTAGTTAAGTCTGCAGCTCGCGGGGAATATGTCTCAAGACATGCAGCAGGGCACGCTCTCACAACTCAGATGACCCTGTTGGGTATCATGAGGGCTCTTTTTAGCATCTCTCTTTTTCGCCCACCTCTCGTTATTCCACCCATTCCTTTCAAATGCACACTCAGCTCAGGCACCACACGCACGGTCCAGGTGAAGCTGGATGGGTCCTTTCGAGTGTACACATCGTGTGGGCGGTCGTGCAAGCATGCCAGCACAGGACCCATCCTAACAATGTCCTCTCCCCCACAACCCTCCCCCTCTGCGCACACAGGTACCGCACGGCCCAGGTGAAGCTAGTGGACATCATGCGGGCGCAGGGGGCCAGGCCCGGGAAGCCGATGCTGCGGCCGGTGCTTCGGGAGGAGGCTCGGCGGTACATCGGAGACACGGGGCTGCTGGACCACCTGCTGAAGCACATGACCGACACCGTGGTGCCCTCGGGGCAGCGGTTTAGGCGCAGGCACAACAGCGAGGGCGCCATGGAATACTGGCTGGAAGACGCGGGGCTCATGGCTATCAGAGCGGTGAGGAACGGTGGGAAAGGGTGGGAAATGGGGGGAAGACGGAGGGGTTGAGGGAGGGGAGGGTGCGGAGGGAAGGGGTGGGAGGGGATGGGATGGGGTTGGGGGCAGGGGCTGTAATCGAGCGAGGGTGGTGTGGTGTGGGTTGGTGTGGTGTGGGGAGCACGGCATAGAAAGAGAGACCCCTGCCCATCGGAGACACGGGGCTGCTGGACCATCTGCTGAAGCACATGACCGACACCGTGGTGCCCTCGGGGCAGCGGTTTAGGCGCAGGCACAACAGCGAGGGCGCCATGGAATACTGGCTGGAAGACGCGGGGCTCATGGCTATCAGAGCGGTGAGCAGGGGTTGGGAGGGAGACGGGAGGGTGTGGGAAGGGGAGGTGCGGCAAGAAGGGTGTTTTGACCTCCATCCTCCTTCCTCCTCCCACTCACATCCACTCACATCCACTTACCTCCTTCACTTTACAACCTCCTTCCACTCCCTGCACTCCTCCTCACTCCCTGCACTCCTCCTCACTCCATGCAGGCGGCGGGCATCAGTGACCCCACGTGGGTGCCCCCACCAGGCTGGAAGCCAGGAGCAGACCCCCATGTGCCGTGCGGTACCAAGCGGTGCCACAAGGTGGAGCGGGATGTGGAGAGGATGGGGGGCTCTGTGTCTGCCATGCGCAAGTGAGACGATGGGTGGCCTCTTCTCCTCTCCATTTCTGGCGCTTTTGTCATTTCCATCTTTTCATTCCTTTCAAATCCTGGATCCTTCCTTTCTTTTTCTTTTTACTTACATGTGGTGTCCCGTCCATCTCCTCCTTGTTCTCCTCCTTGTTCTCCTCCCCCACTCCCTTTTCCCCCTTCTTCCTGCCATCAGAGAGCTTGATGAGCTGAGGCGGCAGGTGGGCAAGCTATCATCCAAAAGCAACAACCAGCAGCAGCAGCAGCAGCAGCTGATCCCCTGTGTGACCCCCTGTGTGAGTCTCAGAAGCATCAAGGTAACGATAAGGGTGAAGGTTTCGGCGGAAGGTTCGCAGAATTCAGCTGCTTGAAACGCTGAGGCTGCTTCTGCTTGGTCTCTCGCTTCTCCCTCGGTTCCATAAGCTTACAGTCCAATCGAACCCCAAACAGGAGTCATGGTCTTTGCGTGGCAGCTGCAGCTTTTAGCAAACTGTTTGTTTAGTGTGTGTAGGAACTTGCTTGGTCTCTCGCTTCTCCCTCGGTTCTATAAGCTTACTCGTCTCAGACCTGCGGTTGCATCGAGCTCACCAATTGCACTAACGATACTAAGCGTCTCTGCCTCTACTGCTGTCTGCTTGCATGGGAAGCAGGTAACGAGTGGGAGCATGTGGGAGGCGAATCACTCAGCCTTGCACAATCTGCTCACTAATGTAAGCTTCACTTCTGGTCACGTCACTGCCAACCCACCCCATCCCACCCTCCCTCCCTCCCAAACATCCTCACTGGTCTCTGCTGCTGCTGCTGCTTCTCATGGTGGTGATTGTGGTGTGTGGGGGAGTGGCAGGTTTGGGAGGAGCTAAAGCAGCACAACAAGCTGAACCAGCAGATCCTGCTCGCACTCAACACCAGCAACACCGAGTACGTGCCTCTGCTGCCACAGCTTATGCTTGCTGCCGCTCCTGCTGCTACTGCTGTGGATGCTGCTTCTGCTGCAGCTGCTTCTTCTGCAGCTCCTGTTGCTGTTAGCTTTGTTTTCTCATTGCCAGAGCATGTAGCATCTCGAAGCCTTGGTATCATCCAGCTGTAGTGACCAATCCTCCGCCCACCTTACCGTTCTCTGTCACTCCCCCACCCCCCTATGTGCCCCTGTGTGCCCCCTGCGGCTTCCATGTGTGCCTCACCCGCTATGTGCGAATGACACAGGGTACTGGATGCTATCACATGCCAGGCTGCTAAGTCCCTGACTTTTGAGTCGACTCAAAAGTCACCTCGTTTCCATGTGTGCCTCACCCGCTATGTGCGAATGACACAGGGTACTGGATGCTATCACATGCCAGGCTGCTAAGTCCCTGCCTGCCATTCTCGCCGCTGCTGCCGGCACCCTGCTTTCTCTGCCCCAATCTGACCTCCACGCCCCCAACGCACAGCAGCAGCAGCATCAGCAGCAGCATGTGCAGGGGAACACCAGGAGCAGCAACACCCTCCCTGCTCTTGTTCTCCCCCAAGTCTCCGCTTCACTGCCGGTGCAGGTACCATTTCATTTCACCAAGCACTGATCACATGCACCAAGCGCCCTTATTCCTTTCAATATCTCCTCTTCAGACGCACTGACAATGCAACAGGCAGCACCTTTTTCTCATCAAGATCTCGCTTGTCACTGCAGGAGCAGCCCTCAAGTGCATCAAGGCACGTGAATGGGAGCGAGAAGCAGCAGAATGACCACCAGCCGTTTACCTCTGCTGCTGCAGATGTGAAATCCCTGCTCAGGAGCAACACTCAGCAGTCAGCAGCAGCAGCAGCGGCGGTGCATAGAGTGGCACATGCAGCTACACACGGCAAGACACTTGGGCTGCTCAAGCTCCCTCCTTGTGTCGCTCAGAACCCCCCTCTTTCTAGACTCCTACCGCAGTGACCGGATCCCCGCTCACTATCCTCGTACCGTAAGCCTAGGAGTCGTTTGCTGTGTAGTTTGCATGTGTGCGTGTGTGTGGTATGCGTGCTGAATCACGTCTTGTAATGCAGATACGGTATGTGTGAAGCCCACAAGGTCCAAGTACTATTCTGGGAAATGTAATACCGCGTATCTTTTGCTGAGCACGGGTGGGAGCTTTCTATATGTGCAAAAACAGGTGCAGAATGCACACTAAAAGGGCATCGTTCACACACTCAATTTGACACATATCTCATATCAACACACCGAAATGGGAGCACACAGCACAAGCCATGAGCCTTCAACCATTAGCCCTGCTGCACACAAGCACGATCAACTGTACTGCACTGCACATACCACATATGTAACACACAATGAATTCTGTGCACACCACTCCAAACCGCACTCAACACCACAACGACCACCACTCTATTCTACAAGCTCGCTCCTCCGCTTCTGCTGGCGGTCAGGTGCCTTGTTATCGTCCGGCCGCATCCGAAAAATCGTCCGGATAGCGATACCGCAAGTAGGCGTTTGGCACGTATCGCCCCGCTCTGCACAGACCAAGGAACCGAGACAACGCCAAAGAACATCCCGAATGAGACAGAGACTGATCGAGCAGCATGTGCGAGGAGCAGGAGCAGTCCTGAGACCATGTCAAACTCGAGAAGTTCTCTCAGGTAGGTCAGTACCACCCGAATCTAACCAGCTGCCGCGGACCATGCAAAACACGCAAAAGCAAGGACAGGAGCAAAGGCAGCAAGTACCTGGGTCCAAACTACCAACGATAAAAGTTACCTTTCTCAGGCTTTCAAGTACCTGAGTCCCAGGAAGTAGGCACCCAGCTCTTCATTGTGTACAGGCCCAACTTCAGGTGACGGAACAAGGTTCTCCTGAGGCACTGCACGTGACAGAGAGCGGAGCAGACACAGGGAGAGAGAGAGAGATCGAGAGAGATGAAGAGACGTCGTGCTGAAGGTTGCAGGCTCTTGCATAGCTCCAGTACATGAGAACTGTGTGTTGTATCTGATCGCACGTATCATATAAGAAGGTAGGCTGGAAAAAGACAGTTGGTGGGTGAAAGGGGAAGAGAGGGGGCTGAAGCAGAAACGTAGAAAGGAAGGGGCTTTAAGCTGCAAGCACACGTTCGCAAAGAGCCAGTCAATGCGAGACGCACCATAGGTGGTGTGGTGAGGGTGGTCTCTGACGTCCACGAGCAGTCGGTAGAAGGGCTGTACACGCCCCAGGCGTAGCTTGTCCACCTGTGCCCCCCACACAGCACAGCCAGCACCAGAGAAAGGGACACACACAGAGCAGAGGGTGATCCCTGACGTCCACGAGCAGTCGATAGAATGGCTGTACATGCCCCAGGCGTAGCTTGTCCACCTGTGCCCCCCACACAGCAGCATACATACGGCCACCACCACCACCATGCAGCCAATAAGTGGGCGCACGCATTGATCACAGAGAAGCAGACGCACATAGAGGGGAAAAAAACACGCATATGAGGAATGAAAAGTCATATCACGAGACAGGACAGGGGTGCGTCTTTTAGAAGGACCCGGAGCTGCAGCAGCTAGGCTGCTGCAAGCAGACACTGCACGAGCGAGTCTCAAACACAAAGCCAGCATCTGTCCGCCCGCCCATGTCAGGAGGTTGGTTGCTCACCTGCATTTGCGCTATCCATGTCTCGTCCGCGGTGCAGCGAGGGTCCCACCCGAATACAATCCCCCGATACCCGAACCGCCGGTGCCGCACTATTGTGCCCACTCGGAATGCCAGGTCCGCTGGACGGGGCGTGAAGCGCTCGTTGCACCACAGCTGGATGAACGCACAATGAAAAAACGGGGTGGGGGGAGAGGGAGGGGGAGGGGAGAGGGGGATGGGAGAGGAAGGGTGGGACTTTTCAGTCTTTTGAGTCTACTCAGCTGGATGAAGCGTGAGGAGAAACAGGGGCGGGAGGAGCTGAACGGGGAGTGGTTAAGAGAAAGGAGGGGAGGGGAAGGAGGGGGGGAGAGACAACAAGTGCGGCAAGGCCATGCCGGTGCATCTGCTGCGCATTGTCCATAAACTGCTGCTGCAGCAGACTGGCGCATGTGTGCATCCATGCATTCATGCTTGTGCTCTTACCTCGAGCTGCCTCTGCATCTGCTGCGCATTGTCCATGAACTGCTGCTGCAACAGACTGGCGTGTGCGTGCATCCATGCATTCATTCATGCTTGTGCTCTTACCTCGTGCTGCCTCCGCATCTGCTGTGCGTTGTCCATGAACTGCTGCAGCAGCGCGCGCGGCACCGCGCCCGGCACGCCCCCCTGCTGCCCCGACGCCTGCAGCAGCACGTGCAGCTCTGCGGTAACCGCGTCAAAGTCAGGCACGGTGAGCAGCAGCTTCGCCTTGTGGAATCGCTCGCCCACGTCGCTGGGGTTCACGGCTAGCAGCAGGTCCAGGAGCGGTAGCAGGCGCCTCTGTGCGTCCCTTGATGGTTGTGTCCTGCCGTCGCCGTCCGCCTCCCTCTGTTAATTGTACGGGAACAGGGGGCAGGGGGGAGGGGGCAGGGAGGGCAGCACAGCAGCACGGTGAGCAGCAGCTTTGCCTTGTGAAAGTGCATGGAAAAGGGGGGGCTGAAATTCGGTGGGCAATGGGTAGAGCATAAGCATAGTGTGCGCATGCATGCGTACGTACGCACGCACCTGTGCGTAGATGGCAAGGAGGTTGTTGCACATGCGGACGAGCACGGCCTGCGCGCCCACAGGAGCCAGCAGGCGCGGGTTGTACTCCAACCCCATGGACCTGCACGCAACGCAACCAGGTAGCACGCAACCGGGGGTGGGGAGGAGGAGGACAGAGCAGAATGAGGGCCAGGAAGGGAATCGGAGAGGGGGGTCAGAATGGGGGAAAGCGGATGGGGGGTTTGGACAGGAGGCGGGGTCGGGGGAGAGGTGGGGGGAGAGGTTCAGGAAGAAACGCAGGGGGAGATGACGGGGGAGAGCGCACCTGATGAGCTGCACGCACTCCTCGCGGTGCAGCAGCCGGCGGTTGAAGCAGTCCATGAACCGCTCCTCCATCTGCCCGTCCTCGCCCACCTTGGTCAAGAAATGCAGCGGGATCCCCACCATGCGCACCGGGATGCCGCACGCGCGCCCTATAGCAGCATGTAGCACGGCCAGGCTGATGGGGATGCCTCGCCGCGAGTCCAGCACGTCGTTTATGTACGAGTTGCGCGGGTTGTAGTAGTCGTCTCTGTTGCCGTCTAAATGCAGACACTCCGGGTCCTCCTGTTCGCGCACTTGGCCTGCCGCGCCCTCCTCCTGCTCCTCTTCCTCCTCCGCGCCCTCCTCCTCCTCCTCCTCCTCGTCCTCTTCCTCCCCTTCCTCCTCCTCCCCCGTCCCATTTTCTTCTTCTGCCCCCTCATCACCAGCAACAGCAGCAACAGTAGCAGCATCAGTCCCACCAATTGTAGCAGCAGCAGCAGCAGCAGCAGCTCCTTCAGCCGTGCCTGCAGTCCCTGCTGCTGCCTGTTCTGCAGCAGCCTCCCTGCTCCTAACATCCGCCTCGTGTCTCGCCCGCGCACCTCCAGCTGCTGCTTCCTCTGCTTGCGCAAGCGCCTGCACCTCACCTGCTTGCCGCTGTACAGGCTCCTCCTGCTGCTGCTGCTGCTGGTCCTGCTGTTGAAGCTGCTGCGGCAGTAGCAGCTGCTGATGCGGAGGTTGACGCTGCTGCTGCTGCTGCTGCGGCTGCAGGTGCTGGTGTGGTGGTCTGGGCTGTGCAGCAATGCCTGGCGGGCCGAAGAGGAGTCCATTGAGTAGTTGCAGAGCAGCCACAGCACCACGGGGAGTAGACGGGCCTCCGTACCGGCTCACCCTGTCACAAACACAGGATTTTTGAAAGATGGGAAGAAGAACGTGGGGGAAGGGGAGTGGACAAGGGGGAACAGAGAAGGGAACACAATGACCATACAAAATCTCCAAGAAAAGCTTTAACGGGCAAGAGCAGAAACATTTGCAACAGCGCAACTAGAGGGGGCAGACAATACATGTGCAACAGCGCAGGGGTAGAACAGACTTTAGGCAGGCTGAGGGAAGGAGAGTCACTGACAGTGGGCTGCTGGCAATGCGTGTACGCAGAACAGCAGCGGTATCCACGAGGCGATTCAGGACTGCGTCCGTGTCCAGGTCGCGGTATCTGCACGGCCGAAACACAACCGGGGCGAAGGGGGAGGCTTTTGAGGCGACTCAAATGTCATATCGATTCAAGACTGCGTCCGTGTCCAGATCCCTGTATCTGCACGGTCAAAAACGACGGGGGCGGCGAAGGGAGGATGGGAAGGTGAGAGAACAGAACACATAACGGCAATGACAACAATCAAGAAAAGTGACAGAGCGACGAAGGGCGGGTAGCAGAGGCGAAGAATCGAGGAATGGTGACGAGTACGGTGTGGAAAAGTGGTGTTTGCGGGGGGAGGGAGAGATAGCGGGAGAGAGAGAGAGAGAGAGCTGTGAGCGGGGCGGTGGCATGATGACAAGGGACGCCGGCCCGCCAGTACCTTAGCTTTGCCACTATCAGCGCCCCACGTGCTATCTCGTCTTCCAACTGCGAAGTACATACATGTAGGGGAAAGGAAACAAGACAAAGATCCGCATTTAAAGAATCAAGGATTCAGACCTGGGGGAGTCACTCAAGAAATGAAGTGCACAACAAGAAGCTGGTCCAGACACTCACGCCATCACCACACACGCCAACATCAGCACGTGCAGGAGCAGGAGCAGGAGCAGGAAAGGCGAATCAAGAGCAAGAAGAACGGGAGCAGCAGGAGCAGGGGCAGGAGCAGCGAAGCAGGAGAAGCAGGAGCAGGAGCAGCTGAGTAGGCGCAGCGGAAGAGGCAGGAGCAGAAGCACGAGGACGGGGAGCAGGAGCAGGAGCAGCAGCAGGAATGGCAGCACCAGTCTCCCGCAACACCAGAAGCAGCAGCAGAAGCAGCAGCAGCAAGGCTCAGACGGCTAGACGGCGGCGCTCCTCACCGTGTGTGGCGGCAAGCGGAGGAACCGTTTCATATCCAGCACGCATGTGCGTGTGTGCAGGTGGTGCAACGCCTCTCGCGCAAAGTACCGAGTCCCTGCCGACAGAGCATCTCCTGTCTCCGCCAGCCGTTCCAGTTCCTGCAGCAAGGGCACAGGAACAGGAACGGGAAAATATGAATGGGAAACAGGAATGGGAAACACACTCACAGCCACACAGCAAAACTGGAAGGAACACGCGCGAGCCAAAAAAAAAAAAAAGGGAAAACGGATGGTATTGACTACCAAACCGTACCGTACCTCGACAACAAGGTTCCCCAGCTGCAACACTCTCCTGATAGCCTGCGGGCGCCGCAACGGCCACGCCATATCCGCCAGCACCCCTCGCACCTCCTCCTCTATCACCACTCTGAACCGAAACACCGCCCGCCATCCCCAGTGCCGCGCTCTCCGCGAACACTCCTGCCATCCCGACCTCCCGTCGCTCGTTTCGTCGTCGCCACCCCCCTCGCGAATCCACGCCTCGTACACCTCCCTCATGTCGCCTGCTCTGCCCGAGCCCGTCGCACTCTCCATGGCCGACGCACCGGCAACTTGTCCCAACCGCTCGTCTCGGATTAGCCTCCCCGTGCCCTCGTGCCATGCCTCTTCTCTCCTCGAAGCGGCGCCTGAGAACGGAGCAGCCGCTTCAGCGGATGCAGTCGCAGTAGCAGTCGCCCCGGATGCTTCCCTGTCGGCTGAAGCTTGAGCCGGCCTGAGGTGTGTTGCGTGCGGCTCGTGCGTACCGGCACGCAATGGGCTCTCCTCGGTTTCCTCTTCCGCAGAGCCCGCAGGGACGACTCGTCTCAGCGGAGTCTCGCGCGCACTGGTATAGCTTCTTACGGTTCCACTCCAAGGGCCCTCTCTACCAGGCTGCCTACTAGCGAATTCCGCCGCGCCACTGACGGCCGGCGACCGGACGGAGACGGCAGTCTGACGGAACCTCTCTAGCCTGTCTTCCCGACTGAGAAGCGATCTACTGCTTCCGGCAGCGGCTGTCCGGGATAATTGTTCCGCGGGAAGCGCGGAGGTAATGGCAGGGTACCTGTCCCACACGCTCCAGCGCTTGACGCATATGCTCTCCCAGATGGGATCTGCGCACGATACTCGGTGCCACAGCGTGCTCACTCCACCCACCCTGAGCAGCTCGCGGGGTCCGAGGTACGCGAACACCTGCACCACGTAACAAGAGGGAAGATGCGAGCCGATTATGCTCGCGAACGTCCTTGTTGCATGGTTGGAGGATAAAGTGCATATTGTACGCGTCTCCGCACAAAAACTAGGCCTTGCACAGAGCTAAGTCATAACACGGCAGGCGGGACGCCTGAGTAAGGGTATGGCGTGGAAACTGAAGGTACACTACAAGGAACGGAACAGCAAATCTTTACTTTTGAGCCGCTAAAAAAATTGCAGCACTAGCTGCTGGTAGAGGAGACGCTACAAGCAACGCAAAACGTCAATCCCTGTCTACAAGCTGGTAGAGCTACGAAAACTGAAGCTAAAGCATCCGGGGAAGCTAAAGGAGCAGAGAAGTTTAAGCAGCAGGGAAGCTAAAGCAGCAAGGAAGCTATAGCACCTGCTGCAGGAGCTCGTCTGGCAGCTGGAGACTGTCATGAAGCTTGACTGCTGCCATGTTCTCTATAGCAGCAGCAAGCCGGCCTGCCTCTGGCGACATCTCAACGGTCAACGCCTGTCTGGCGCCCCCAGCACCCTGAGCATCGCCAGGCAGCTAGCTGTTGTGGAGGAGTGTTATTTTTTAAGTGGGATGAGGAGCAGAGTCCTCTTTAACCGCTTCCTGGCATGACTCAGAGCGCGGCTTCTAAAGAAACTAGTGGAAGTTTAACCCCCCTAGTGAATGAAAGCTATAAGCCCCGATCCGTGACGCTCTAGCTACGGAACGACTCCGTCAACGTCTCGTGAGGTGGAATAAAAAGGAGCCCTTCACAACTGTACTACAGCAGACCCCTCCGCTACTAACTTTCTGTCCTAATGCATTTGCACTAGCCCATGGCTCCTGGTCTTGACGAGCAACGAAGCTTGACAAAATACGTAAAAAGAGATGACGATGGCATCTGTGAACAGCTACGGTACCACAGAACCTCAGGCTGGGCAAGGTAGTGTAGTAGTGTACTGATCCTCCTACCGCACCCAGAATTTCCCTGGTAATTCTGAGGATAGGAATGAGATTTCACACTCAACGCCGGCGAGATTCGCTGACCCTAATCTGCCCGCTTGCTGCGGTGCGATGGACGGATCAAAAGTGCTCACCAGGAGAAAGCATGTGGCCTATCGCGCTCAGCTTGCCAAAGCTGCGGCAACATGTCACGTGGGACTTGGTTCGTCGGTTCGACTTGGGAACAGAGCTTGCATCCCTCAGCAGCAACTAGGGAATTCCAACCCAACATATGTTGGCTAAGCTGTGTGCTGCGTCTGAAAGGCTTGTAGAACGTTTGCTAGTGTTTCTTGTAGATTGAGATAGGTTGGGAAGGTAGATACGCTAATGAAATTGGCAGTGTGTTGATGAGGCTAACCTAGATTTCCGCTGGCGCCAGCATCTGCAGATAGCATTCCTCAGCGCATGTAGGGGTTCCCTTGATCCCCACCTGATCGCGATGGTACCGCATTGAAGCTCCCTATTGGTCCACGAGATCTTGGAGCCCATCATGTGTGCCCCCATTCTAAAGTTCCCCATGCGTACTGTATTCCACTGGCGGCGAAAGACTAGACTCATCTGCGGGCGCGGACACATCCTCCGCGCCACGCTTCTTCATGTTTCTCGAGAATCGGGCCGCGGTAAATTCCTACGTGGCAGCCGAGCCGAACTTTACATGTGGAAAGAAGAGTCAGCTGCTGGTTGAAAAGCTATGCAGCGAGTGATTGAAGCGAAAAGATCACCAAGAGTTGCCGGATTGGCTGGACGCGTAATCCCGAATTTGGAAAAATCGAGGCATGACCCATCCAGTTGGTCTTTACCTTTCTGGGCATTCATCAGCATTCCTTCGAATGCCAACTGGAATACCGGTAACACCTAATCTGAACAATGTTACAAACAAACACGAATGCAGCCACCCTAAAAAGTTCCTGCTCTTGCAAACATTCCCCACACCAATCTAAAATATTCACTGAATATTAACTGTTCTTGCTCTGAATTCTTACCATTGTAATATTAGGGTGGTGGAGGATGCAATCCATAGCAGATATCTATGCATGCATTGAAGCACACACACTAACACAATCACAAGCACACACACACGCACGCACACTTGAAGCACACACACCGACATGAACACGCATGCACGGACACACGTACGCGCAGGCGCGCGCGCGCACACACACACACATGAAACTCTTGCTACACATTCTCATGGCTAGCTTGCCATGCTTGCTGTCAGTACTCGGGAGTTCGATGGAAGCGAGGGCTGTTCTCAGCTGGCAGGCAACTAGTCTCTCGCAACAGTGTAACTGCCCACTGAAGCATTCCCGCACCCCTGCAATACACCATTACAAATCAGAAGGATGGGACGGCGATAGATCCAGAGGCTGACATATGAGCCATTAGGATGCGGCACCTCCAGCACCGATCCTGCGAAGGATCGAATGTTTTAGGAGTTTTAAATGGTTTCAAAAGCTTTAAAGACTTTCAGCAGGATTTCAGTACAGTTGAATCAGCGATCCTGCGATCGATCGTGCAAAATTGCTTGAGGTGCCGCGTCCTTAAGGTTCAAAGACTTGACAGCGTCCCGCTGCATTCTTACAACGAACACGGCAATGTGGTTGCTTGGAGGGAGGTGTCAGCACGGTCAAGGGTTGGGAACAGCACTGGTGACGCAGGCATGGGAAGGAACATAACCAACGACTAACCTTGAGGTGATTCCAAGGGAAGTGGCTGTACAGCCAGGTCGGAGCAGTGCCAGAGCCAATGTCCTCTTCGCTTACACCGCCCCTCCCCCCTCCTCCCTAACATTCAAGGCACCCTCCTAGCTCACATCAGCGCCTGAATCCATGCATAGAATAACAGACCAGCACACAAGAAGCAGGGAAATACAACTGACTAACGCGTGGTGCACCAGCCCGGCAATGAGCAGCAGTGATGCAACTAACACAAGCAGCAGCAAACACAAGCATAACTGACTGGGACAAAAGCAGGTGATACAGGCGAGCCCATGCACTTAACCTCACCTAAGTTGACTTTCTCACACACCTGTTAAAGCTGGCCTGATACAAGTAATTATCCTCCACTGCTCCTCCCCATGCTCCACTTGCTGCTGCTGGTGCTGCTGCAGCGGCGGCTGGAGCAGTTGGCCCACCAGTCTCCAGAACTGTATCCATGCCCATGCCTAGACCGATACCACTGCCCGAGCCACTCCCCGAACCACTGCTCCCAGGCCTCGCACTACCAGGAATCCGGGGCGACCTCTGAGCAGCCGAACCAAAGCTCATATTGTGCGACAGAGCATTCGTGCTCGCACTCTTATACACAACCCCGCTACCAAACCCGCTGCCACTCGCACTCCTCCTAAGCTGCATGTGCCCACTGCTCCTCACGTCCATCCCTCCGCCCCTTCCAGCCCCGGCACTCCCTGGCGATCGCAGCATGCCGCTCACCACCCCCATCACCCTGTCCCTATCTGCCGTTGCGGCCGTTGCTAGTGTCTCGAACCGTGCCTTTTCTCGCAGAGCCCTATCGAAATATGCCCCACTTTCTTTCTGCAGCCCCTCAAATCGCCCCCCTGGCGTCAGCGCCCCCTCAAAACGCGCCCCTGCATATTGAGCCCTTTCAAAACACCCTCCTGGCGATACTTGCACCCCTTCAAACCGCGACCCTACTCCTGCTCCTCCTACCCCCCCTCCTGCTCCTCCTGCGCCTGCTTGCTCCACCAGCGCCAACAGCCTCTCCACCTCTACCTGCAGCCGCCGTTCCTTCTCCTTCCACTCCGCCTCCCTCTTGCTCCGACCCGCCAACTCTTCTGCCAGCTTCTCCTTGTCCTTCTTTAGCTCTTCCTCCCACAACACCACCTCCTCCTCTCGCCTCTCCAGCTCCTCCTCCCTCGCCTTCATCCCCTCCTCCTTCGCCCTCACCTCTTCCTTTTCCACCCTCACACCCTCTTCTCTACCTTTCATCTCTTCCTCCTTGGCACGTATCACCTCCTCTTTAGCGCTCACTGCATCTCTCAGTGCCGCCATTTCTCTCGCCTTCTCCTCGTTAACAACCCTTGCCTCAGCCACTTCAGCAGCCTGCTTCCTCACTCTCTCCGCCTCCTCCTTCCACCACTCCACCTCCCTCTCCCGCACCCCCAACGCCTCTATCCTCTCCTCAAACTCGACCATCCGCCTCACCACCTCCTCCTCCTTCTTCCTCACGCTCTCCATCACCATCCCCATCTCCTCCTCCATCTTCCGGACCTTCTTCCCCTGCTCTTCCACCTCTCGTCTCATCCCTTCCAACTCGGCCTCCTTAGCAACATTCGCCACCAAACCCTTGGCTACTCGAGCTGTAGCAGACTGCACTCTCTCCATCTCCTCCTCTAGCTCCTTCT